GGGGGCAGGATCTGTCTGATGCTCGGTCTCACTGTGGGCCCTAGACTTCACCTCTGATGTGAACCCTTAGGCTGAGATCTCAAAACGGCCAGAAATGAGAGACCCAGCCACCGTCCTGGCCGCGTGTGACCACGCGGTGCTCGCCTTGGTGCCCTGCCACTGGCCACGGTTCCGACAGCCGGGTCTTACCTGCTGGGCCGGAGCACCGAGTGCCCCGAGCCCATGCGCTCAGAACCAGTGGCTTAAAGAGCTGTTCACAGCACAGGCTCAGCGCCACCCAGGCCCACGCAGCAGGGCACTCAGTGGGGTCCCTCACGGGCACGCCCACGCCCAGGCTCCCGAGAGGCCGGGGGGCGGCACCAGCAGAGCCCAGCCCAGGCCCCGGGTGAACTACAATCCGTAATTTGTGCTGTTTCCCAAGAACCGTGCCAGCCCCACAGAGCCGGGACCCCCGTCCACAGGGCGTGTCCGCGCGACGGGAGAAATGACTCCAGGGAGGCTCTGCACCCACCTCGCCGGGGCAGGTGCCAACCGTGACCATGTCCCTGAAGAACAGGAATGGCTGGCCCCAGGTGCCAGGACACCTCGAGCTGGGGGCCCCAGGTGCCAGGACACCTCGAGCTGGGGGTCCCAGGTGCCAGGGCAGGCCTGGGTGTGGGCTTCGCCCGCTGTTGTCGGAGGCCCCAGGGTGGGCAAAGCTGACGTACACGGTGGGGTGGGTAGCAGGGGCCAACTCGGCCCCACACACCACTCCCGCTGGACGGCACCCACACTGCCCTCCTCACTGAGGCCCAACAAGAGCACCCAACTCATCCGCCACCCCTCACGCTGCCGTCTGGAAGAGCCTTGGGGGTTCTGCTGGCATTGCCCTGGTCTGACCATGGGTCAGAGGCCCCAGGGGGTAGGCACAGTAGTGGCAAGGACAAGGTGGGGTACCGAGGGAGGCACTCCAGCCGCAGGAGGGCACCCCCAGGACACTGCAGGGCAGCAGTTCTTGAGCACCTTCCTGAGGGGGCTGGGCACCCCTTCCCCTCCCAGCAGGGCCCGCGCTGGAGGGGCAGCTCGCGGAGGCTCCGGGCAGAAGGAAGATGGGCCCCACGGTGTGCAGCCAGGGCAGCGGGCCACCTCCAGCCGGTCCCCGGCCGCCACAGGCTGGTGCTGCGCGCTGAGGCCTCCACACAGTGTGGGCAGGGCCCTGGGCAATTCCTGTTCCAGCCCCTCCGGAGGGAGTAGCTTGTGGCCCAAACCTGAACCCCCAGCTCCTGTGGAACCTGCTTCAGTGGCTCTTACTGCCTGGGGAGAAGAGCGCAGGACACCTGCACCTTCGAGTCCCTCCCCGCCCCTGGGACCTCCCCTTGGCCTCTCCCTGGCTGGCGCGGGCTGTCCTCTTCCCTCGCTCCTTCACCGCTGACCCTGGCCCCTCCTCGAGGCCTCAGCCAGATCCCCCAGCAGCCTTGCTCCGCAGACACGGCTTCCCCTTGGGCCTCTGTCACAGCCGTGACTGCACACTGACCTCTGAGCTCACCCTGGGGCGGGGAGTGGCTGGGCAGGCAGCCGGCTCCTGTGTGTGCGCTGAGCCAGGTCACGGTGCCTCCCGGGACAAGACTGAGAAGGGTGAGGGGTCCCAGACAGAAGGAGAGGACACTCGCTCCGAGAGGCGAGGCAGCGGCCTGGTTCTCGAGGCCCCAGCATTGGGGCGGCGTGTGGCCCGGCTCCTCCCTGCAGACTCCGGTTTGGTGCGAAAGCCCTCAGATGGGGCCACCAGGGCGGTCAATCCACCAAAGGCCAACATCCCAGAGACCAGGTGTGAGACTGGGATGAATCCTGACCCCACAACCGCTTCTAAAGAGGCCAAGACAGGACATGCCCAGACACACATGCGTTCACGAAGCACACACGCACGCACATTCCCGGGAGGTTCTGTGTCTGCTGCCACATCCAGCCCTGCCCACCCAGGCCCCACAGGGAGGCCGCCACACAGAACCCCACCCACCAGGAAACAGACGAGTGTGGGGTTCTTCCTGGACCCACAAAACCAGGACGTGCATGTCACCTGGCAGACACGCGTCCCCAGCTAAGGCCACACGGGCTCCGCCTGGCTCCCCAGGTGACCTCTAGGGCAGGGCCCGGCACGCACGCGGAGCTCCTTTGTGTCCGCCGGCAGCCGCAGCCCTGCAGCCACCTCACCCAAGGTCTCCCAACGAGGGGGCGTGGCGGGCCCCCGCTGCCCCGACGCACACGGACCCAGGCATCGGCAGAAGACTGCTACCCGCATCCTGAGGCCTAGAGGCCAGCTCTGAGGTCAGGGCACCCAGTGGCCTGCAGCTGGACCTGGAAAGCCAGGACAGGGGGAGCCTCCCTGCCCGAGGGAGGCCCCTGCTTCCAGGTCCCTCTAGTCGCAGCCACAGACGGCAGAAGACGTGCCTGCCACACACCGAGCATGAGGCGGCGAGTCCCTGCTGGCGGGCCTGAAGCCCATCGCAGAAGGTGTCCCTGCTGCTAGAGGACCGGCTCTGTCGGAGGTCTGGGTGCCCCAGGGCCCATGGATGGAGTCGCTGAGGGCCACAGGGGTGCCGTCTGCACTGGGTACCGACAGGCGGCAGGAGATGCACACGGGCCTCGGGTCCCTGTTTGCCTTCCCCGGTGGAGCGAGGGGTGACCAGCCCCAGAGCCTCTCACTGACCCCACAGCTCCCCATCTGCCACTTGAGCGCTGAGGTGGGTGGCCTCTCCTTGCTGCGCCCCTGGTGCTGCCTGTCTGGGGAGCAGGGCTGGCCCACGAGGAAGGGCGTGGGATGGGGCGTGCCACACCCTCTCTGCTCAGGAGACTGCCACGCCCTGGGGCCCGCCTGCCAGACAGGCCCATGGGAGAGGCCAGATGGGCTCTGGAACCCGCCGGTGGGCCAGCAGCCCCGTCCCGCCTGCTCCTGCGGGAGGCGCTCAGGAGCCCTCCTCGGCACGCACACCTCCCCCGACGGCCTCCTCGGGGACTCGGGCACCTGCCCACCTCCACTCGCCTCGCCTGCCCGCCCGCCCTCGCTCACTTGCTGCCACCGCACAGCAGCCACTGTGGCCACAGCCTGGGCCGGGCCGTCCCCCGCCCAGAGGCCCCTAGTCCAGTGGTCGGCAAATTGCGGCTCACGAGCCACATGCGGCTCTTTGGCCCCTTGAGTGTGGCTCTTCCACAAAATACCGACTTCTGCGCATGGGCCACAAAGTTTCAGTCCCACTGTACATGCGCACCCGCACGTGGAATTTTGTGTAAGAGCCACACTCAAGGGGCCAAAGAGCCGCATGTGGCTCGTGAGCCGCAATTTGCCAACCGCTGCCCTAGTCCATCTCCCTCGCTTGGCTTTTTGGCCCATTAGCTACGTCCCCAGACACACTGGCTGTTTGTTCTGGCTAATCGTCTGCCACCAGGGGGCGCAGGGCACTGACCAGAGTGAGGAGAGGGCACGTGTGATGCGGGAAAGACCCCACGGACGGCCCCATACCCAGGCGGCCCTGGCCGGGATGAGACCTGCTCGGCATCCTTTGGGGGTGCCCACAGCTCAGACAGGGAACCTGGGCAGGGCAAACAGCTGTGCACGTGCGAAGGTGGCCCTGGCCCTGCCACTGGCTAACCAACCCCCCCCCCCCCCCCCCCCCCAGGACACAGGAGGGTCTCTGCCCAGAGCACATTTCTTCCTGCGCTGACACCCTCCAGCAGGCCTGGAGGGAGGAGAGAAACCTCATTCATTCAGCGAGATGGCTCGGGGCCCAGCCAGGGGACCCTGGCAGCGCAGGCGGCCCACGGAGAGGCTGGTGTCAGAGCGGACTCGGCTCCTCAACAGCAACACCAAACCCAAAAACCAGCATGAGGGCTTCCCGGTGGGGGAAATGGCCTAGATCTCATACCTTTCAAGGTATCGACCGAGTGTGATGGGAGAGTAGACACTGTCTGCCATGTACCTGTAAGAAGGGCTCAGGAAACGCCTTCCCGTGAACCCTGCTTAGGAAGACACTGGCCTATGCATCTCACTTAGCAAATAAACAAAAAAGGGAGAGCCAGGAGCCTGTGTCACTGCGCCTCCTGCTGGCCGGTCAGGGCGGCGGCCGGACGGGCAGCCTCACACAGCACCTGAGGAAAAGGAGCTGTGCCCATGGCGGATCTTTGGGATCAGTGAAAAAAATTAAGTATGAAGACAGAAAACAAGCAAGTAAAAGTACAGGGCAACTGCTAATCCCAGGAAAAACAAAATGCAACATTAAAAAATGAAGTACGCCACTAGGCTCAGAAGCAATGGTTTTAGAGACATTATAATGCAGTGACTACTGACAGTAAAATCCTGAGCACCACCCTGCCTGGCCAATCGGTGGGGGGTGGCGAAGGCGGGCAAGGGCACTGGGAACAGCCTGGCCTCCCCGCAGAGCGGGCAGACACTGTGAGGTCACCTTCACCAGCCAGCCCTGAGCTGCTAGACGCAGGTGGACGCACGGGGAACTGGGGGCAGCAGTGGCTCTAGGGGCTGCTTGTGGGCAGGCCTGTTGGCTTCCACCATAAGCCTCTTGTAACTGTTTGTCTGTAAGTAGGCGCCACGAGGAAGGGCGTGGGATGGGGCGTGCCACACCCTGTGGAACCTGCTTATAAATTGTACCTGGGAAAATTAAAAGGAAACAAGAAAATGGGTTTAAAAAACATGTGTCACTGAGGAAACGGCCAAGGGGATCCCCACTGAAGCAGCAAGCAGAAGGGGTCCCAGGGCGTGACCTGGAGACCCAGACACGGACGTCTTCCCTGGGACGTGACACGCCACCCGGGAACCCTGCTGTGCGCTGGGCGACATGGACAGGGCTGCCCGTGCCGCAGTGGCCGCCGCAGCCGCACGTGCGCGATGACGATGTGGGTTCCAATTGAATGTCGCTCAGCAATGAACACGAACAAACCACAGCCACTCACACAGCTTGGGTAAACTTGATGACGAGGAGGTTGCAGGAAAAAAGC